TCATTCCTTGCCTGTATTTTTGGTGGGAACTAGCATCCCAGTCCTTTTGTAAGATATTTTTCATGTCTTAAGGAAGAAGAAAACTCAAAAAAATAGCTGCATATTTCAGATAGAACCAGAAGTTAGTTCAAAAATCACAAAAATGGTTCATTTACCTGCAGCTGACAAGCACAGCATTCCCTCAGTGATATTTTGCAGCTACAGGTAGTCCTAACTTACCATCTGCCTTGTTTATTGGCCATTCAAAGTTTGATTGATTATATGCCATCAACTCATAGCAATGACATAAATAGATCTTCTCCGTGATGATCTATCCCTAACCTCCTCTTTCAAGTCTCCCAACAGTGCACTTATTGCCACTGTAACTGAGTCAAGTCACCTTGCTGCTGGTCATTCTCTTCTTCTGTTTCCTTCCATCTTTCCCAGCATTAGAGCCTTTTCGAGGGAGCTGGGTCTTCGCATAATGTGTCTGAAGTAGGATAATTTAAGCCTGGTTGTTTATGCCTCAAGTGAGAACTCTGAGTTGATTTGTTTGATGATCCATCGGTTTGTTTTCTTGGCTGTCCGTAGTATTCTCAAGAGTCTTCTCCAACACCGGAGTTCAAAGGTGTTCTTCCTATCCTGCTTCTTTAAAGTCCAACTTTCACTTCCATAGAGTGTCACAGGGAATACCGTGGCTTGCATGATTCTGATCTTTGTAGGTATACAGATAGTCCTCGCTTAATGACCGTTTAGCGACCATTCAAAGTTACAACAGTGCTAAAAAAGTGACTTACAACCAATGCCCGAGGTTATGTCCGTCGCAGCACCCTCGCGGTCACATGATTGTAATCCAGGTGCATAGGAACCAGCTGACATTTATGATGCTTGCAGTGTCCCGGAGTCACGTGATCACCATTTGTGATCTTCCTTGCCAGCTCCTGGCAAGCAAAATCAGTGGGGAACTGCATGATTCATTTAATGACCACATGATTCACTTAATGACTGCATGATTCACTTAATGCCATGGTGATTTGCTTAACAACTGCTGCAAAAAGTTGCACAATTGGGTCCAGTCACGTAGCTTAGTGACCTAATTCTGGTCCCAATTGTGGTCGTTAAGCGAGGACTACCTATAGACATATCACAGCATTTGGATATCCTTTCCAAGGATTTCATGACTGCTCTACCAAGTGCTAGCCTGTGCTGTATTTCTTGACTGCTTGTTCCTTTACTGTTGATGATTGATCCTAAAAGGCAGAAGCTGTCCACCACTTCCATCTATTCATTGTCAAGTCTAAGACTGGTTGTTTTACCTGTTGTCATTAGTTTGGTCTTATATTTTAGTCCCATTTTTTCACTGTGTTCTTTGATTTTAGTACTAGGGCTTGCAGATCCTTTGCATTTTCAGCTATGAGCATATTGTCATCAGCGTAGCACAGGTTATTGGTGTTTGTTCCTCCAATTTTAAAACCACACTCATCGTCTTCCAATCTGGCTTCCCATAATACATACTCACCATATAGGTTGACTAAATAAGGGGAAAGTATACAGCCTTACTGCACTTCTTTGCCAACCTGGAGCAAGTCTGTTTCGCCAAGTTGTGTCCATACTGTGGCTTCCTGACCTGTATATAAGTTTCTCATGAGGACAATGAGATGTTCTGGGATTCCCATTTTTCTAAGTACTTTCAACAGCTTGACTTGATTGATACAATCAAAGGTGTTTCTATAATCAATGAAGCACAAACTGACTGATTTTTGGTATTCTTTGGCTTTCTCAACTATCCAGTGTGCATCAGCAATAATTTCTCGTGTTCCTTGGCCTTTTCTAAAGCCAGCTTGAACATCTGGCCTCTCTTTTTCCATGTAGGACTGTAATCTGTGTTGGATGATCCTAAGCATCATTTTGCTAGCATGTGAAATTAAGGATATTGCACGATAGTTTGCACACCCTGTTAAATTTCCTTTTTTTTTTTTTGGGT